AGGTTCTCTATAAATTATAAATCACTTAAAAAATATATAAAAACTATAAACACATAAAAAATAAATGAAAAATAAACAAAAAGGACAACAAAGTCATTTCATCTCAATAGGGATGAAGCATGCAAGTTTGAAACAAATAAGGGACGGTCGATGTAATTATTAAAAATAGGGACTAAGCGTGCATTTTGGCATCTGTGTGAGGGACGAATCGTGTAATTTACTCTAAATTTTAAGCTGCAAACTATAGACGCTGATTTTCTCGATACAATGTTTCCTAATTAAACATACAAATGATTTCTTTAATGTCTGCATTTAGAAACAAAGTCTTTACATCTATTTGATGTAGCTGTAGGTTAAAATGATCTAGATGTGCCATTATCGTTTTAAAAGAGTCTTTCAAGGATTAGAAAGAAAGTATATTTATAAGCTTTTCCTTTTTAAGTGAAGCCATTTTGGTTTTATAAGTTTTTCCATTTGAATCCATTTTGGTTTTAGATTTTCATTTGCAACCAATGGTTTCTTACCTTTTGGCAACTCGACGAGATCCCAAACGTTGTTTTCTTTTAGTGACTTTATTTCATTATTCATGGCCTTCACCTTTCTTGAGAGTTAGAAGGTCGCATTTCTTGATGAAATTTGATTGAATCATCTTTATTAAACCAATATCATCCTCATTTTCTTGTAGAAAAACAATACAATCATCTAAAATCACATTTCTCCTTTCCTTAGCAAATCTCTTAATTAACACTTATTGAGGGTGTTGAGGCTCGTTAATTTATGCTTGAGAAAGAATCTCATTGGTGTATTGATTTGGGATAACGCTTAGAATGATGTCCTTTAAAATTGTGTTTTGTGTTACAATAAGTATAAAACATTAGCCACCTAGAAGAACATATTCTTCTTCAAAGAAAACACACCTAATTTTTTATTCTCACCCAAACTCATTATCCTTGAGGACTCTTGTGTTTGAAAAGGGATAAATATTATCCAAACTTTCATTACTCGAATTCCACGATTTGAATTTCATCCCATATTCCATGTGATTGCAAACTTATCCGTATTTTTAGAGCTCAAACATAGTAATTTGTCTTCATGATCCTTAATTAGTGGTGAGTTACACTACTATCTATCTCGGTGCTTTCATCACATTCACCCTCAAGTTGAGAAGATTACGATCTCGACATGGTCGGTTTGGGCATATACTAGCTTGGTTATCATACCACTTGCAAGGAATAAAAGGATCAAATTGTTTGTTGCTTGGACCGAATTTTTAGTGTATAAAAAGTTGTTTTGTTTGTGTGGAAAACATAGTAAAAACATAGCAGATGAGGTGTAGAAAGAACAAGTCTTTGATTTCAATACATGGAAATCAAGTTATAGTGAAATTAGATTACTTCAATATATGCAAATGATGTAATATATGCAAATGATGTAGCAAAGTGATTATAGCCCAATAGTATTCAGTGTAGACATGATGCATATCACATTGATGTAGTTAAGAGTAGATTAGAGAGTATATGTGTAGTCATTCAAATAAAAATACAAACCATATAGAGGGTCTTATAAGCTTAATGATTCAAATCTTAACTCATTTTCTACAAAAAATTGAGTGTCATCCCCTAAAATAAATGAGTAGTAAGTAGTCCCACAATGCTTTTTTAAATGTTTTTGTTTTCTATTTAATCACCGTATCATTTAACTATCATCATTGAAAACTTGCTATCATAGGTAAAATTGCTAAAAATAATACATTTTTCACTGGTTTAGGAAACATAGATAGTTTTTTGGATAACAAGATTATAGAAATTATGTAGTCCATTAAACCCTTAATCTTGTAGCTTAATCACGTTTTAGTCAATGTTTTAAAAACTGGTTTTCTAGTTGAACCAGTATGGTGACCGGTTTCCGGTTCAATCGGTTTAAACAGTTTGACCGCCGGGTCAACCGATTTCTATAATTTTCATATTTTTTCCTATTTTCCTATACATACATTCATATATAAATCATGAATTTAAGGTTTACTAGTTCAAACATTAAAAATATACATAAAAATAAGTTGTAGATCAATCCAAATACATTAAAATAACACATAACCATAAGTTTTAGTGTTTTACATCAATCTATATACGTCAAAAAGAAAATAAAATATAATACCGAAACAAAATATAGTTTTAGATGAATACAAACATATTGAAAAAAAGTTTATAACATTTTCCATATGTTTTTATTTAGAGAAAACTAAATAGATTTGAAAAAAAATCACCAAAGTTTATTATGCAAATGGTTCTTTCCCATTTGTTTTTATTCGATTTAACTGGTTCAACATGTTTATTTTGACCGGTTCAACCGGGTTTTTCTAAAAATCGTTCGGTTCAATCCGATTCAGAAAATCAACATAAAACCCATGATCTTATCTTTTTTTATAATAAATTGTTCACCCATTTATAATAAATTGTTCACCCATAATAAGAAAAACGACCAACAAAAACGTGATCTTATCTTTTTATAATAAATTGTTCACCCATTTATAAAAATGACCACCATTCTAAAATATGCTTATTGCTCACTTGTTTCAAACTAAATTTATGTTATATCTAAAGTAGCATTTGAATTTAGAGCGTTTTATTTAAACTAAACGCTAGAAGCTTGTAGTGCCGAACGAGACTTTCTGTTCAAAACAAAACGTTAGAAGCTAGAAGCTGTCAAACGCTCCCAAACGTTCCGTGTCGAACACGCCCTTAATAAAAATAAATAGAAAAATATTATGAAATAACTTGGTAGAAAATAATTTCTAAAGCCGTTTAACACATAAAAGAGAAATTAAATATTCTTTTATTTTTCTTTCTACTTATCATCTTGATCATTATAAAACCATACACACTTTCTTAAATTCTATTAAAATGTGACCCTTATCACTATTTTTTCCAGAGTAAGAATAACACACAAAAATAATAATAAAAGGATATTTAATTTCTCCAAATAAAAATACACATTATATCATTCAAATGGAAGAAAGTAGTTTTGAATTTAATGATTATTTAGCTTTAGAGTAAATTACACGAATGGTCTCTATGATTTGGGGTAATTTGCACGTTTAATCCCTACCTTATTTTTTAACTCGGAATGTCTCTACTGTTTGTTTTTATAGCACGTTTGGTCTCTGTCTTACCTAAAAAGATTAATTTGCCCTTGATTTTTTAATTTATTTAAATAAACACACCTCCAATCCAATTTCCACTTCACTTTACCTATCTCATCTTATTTAAATAAATTAAAATATCAAGGGCAAAATAGTCTTTTTAGGTAAGACAGGACCAAGCGTGCAACAAAAACAAACTGTAGCGATCTTTCGAGTTAAAAAAATAAATTAGAGACCAAACGTACAAATTACCCTAAACAATAGGGACTATTCGTGTAATTTACTCTTAGCTTTAAACACGACCACAGTTATACTCGTGCAAGTGCTGCCGTTGTTTGTCTCCGTGTCTTGTTTTAAAACGTCACCCGCCAGTTTCACCCTTATCGCAAATCTTGTTTCGAACCACTGACTACAAGTATATCCCATCTTTTATTCTTTAATAATATAATATTCGCATCCCATGAATCACCATGAAATCCATGGGCGCCCGCCACCACCACCTTTGATATTATATATACATACATATCTTTCCATTCATTTATTCATCAATCCTAATAAACTTCCAAAACTAGCGAATTAATTGCATATGGCGACAATGGTGAATGTATGGATCTGCGAGCTCTCGAAGCTTCGAGAGAAAATCCAGGTGGAGAAGAAGAAGACGAAGCAACATAATTTATCCATCAAATCGGTGTCAACTCAACAACATGAAGAAGAAGAAGAAGAATCGAGAACCAGTAGCGCACAATCAGCTTCTGGGTTGCCTGCGGAGAAAAAGTTGTCGGAGGAGACGATATTTTGGCTCATGGATCGATTCGCACCTTGCTAGTTACTTGGATCTTCAGATTAAGAAACAAGCAATCATCGTTTTCAATGTCATATATGTGTATATATGTTATATATGAACTACTCTCTTCTTTCGTTTTTGATGTAATTAAAAAGCTGTTTTAGAGATTATAATGGAGAGTTTTTAAAGTTTAATCTGCTTGAATCAGTTGCTTTCAGCTTTTACAAGAATTAGCTTTGTTTCATTTTGTTTTTTTTTCCCTTTTTAACAATTTTGGCCAAGTAGGTCATTTTAGAATACTACGGTATTTAATTTTTGGTGACGATTTAAAAAAGAACAAACAGTAAGCCAATGCATAAATCCTGCAAATCAACAAAAATCTATGTAGAACTCTGCAAAATGAAGATGATTGAAAATGGTTTGATCATTGATGTATTATTGTAAAGAAATTAATTTCAAAAAAATCTTTATTATTGTTCTATCGCGAAAGTTAGTATTTGGCAATTGGCACTACGCGTGGCTGCAAATGACATAGCTAGGAAAGTTCAAGCTCGACTTGATGTCATTAGACTAAGCTCAAATTTGATTTTTAACGAGTTCTTTTTGACCAAGTCTTCGTTATACTGCTTTGAAAGGAAGGATTTTGAAGTTCAAAAAACGAGAAAAATGGCTATTGGAATTAAATGCATACGAAAATTACTTGAGTAGCACACAAAATTCTTTTTTAACAACTATCTTAACCAGAGGGGAATCAGCTATGTCTTTGGCGGTGTTTGTTTTTTTTCCTTATTTTAATTTCAAACTGTACCAAATGATAGAACATACTATAATATTAATAAAAACATATCTACTCTACCTCCTCTAATAAACAAAACCCATTTTTGCCACGTGTCCTTCTTCTACATCGCCACTTTGCCACGTGTCATCTTCTACAAAATCCTATACTTCCGATTTAAACAAAATCCTATAGTTCTCGATTTTATATGAAGTTATTATTGAATGGTTCAAGGTTTCAAATTTAAATTTCATGCTTTTTTGGAAACAAAATCAATTGACGTTGTAAATCTTTGGTTACATTTCCTAATTATTTTTTGAATCCTTTTAAAGATTTGAAAGAATCCCAAAAAATCAGCATTTTCAATTCAAATTTTAATAGATACATATCGAATACTCCAATAATACGTCTTCAACTTTCGTTCCAATTCCAATTGTCGACTTTCATTGTGCTTTCTTCTTCAACATTACGTTTTCTGCAGAATATACATCATAAGAAATCCGGTTAGTTCATTTTCATATATTCATAAACCAATAATTCTAACCTTTTTCTGAAAATACTTTAATATCATTCTACTTTGAGTTCTTATTTCTTTGTTCGGATGCATCCTACTTCACTCATCTATTTCTGGTTCGATTTCTCCATATATGTTTTTAACATAAAGGAAACTGCCCCTTTATGTTCAAAATATATGTTATGTTTGTATCATCTTGACAAATCACATGTCTAGGACCGAAATTACTTGTTTTTTAAAATCTACCGAAACTGTCCCTTTATGTTCAAGATATATGTTCTGTTTGTATACATCTTGAGAAATAAGCTTGAAAAATTAGATAAAGATGTATGTTTTGATTCACTGATTTCATATAGATTTTGATTTGTTTATTTTGTTTTCTTATTTTTTCTGTATTATGCAGAATTTTAGGGTAGTTATTTGAAGCTTCATATAAATCTGGAAAAAAAAATCAAAGAGTAGTTGTTAATGATATCCCATAGCAATCACCTAAACAATTTAATAAATACTAAATCTGGAATCTATTCATACAATTATTTGTGCATCTTCTGCAAAGAACGAAAAATTTTGATTTTACCTTTATTCCTCTTCTTCAAACGTGTTTCAGCAACAACGCTATTATTTCTTCAAAACCCTTTTTCCAGATTTTGACCTCCATCCATGTATCTTTCTTCTCTACTCTCTATTCATTCCCTATTCAAAAACAAAGTCGCACCCATGTTGAAAAAAAAGAAAAAAATCGCAAGGTTAGAGTAGTTTAGGGTATTAGGTTATGAAAATCATTTTATTTCAAGAAGTTGTAAGTCGTTTTAAAACGCAAATCCTTACAATTATTTAAAATAGAACTTCACCACAATATCATATTACATGCAGCGGAACTCCGGCGAGTTGATTTGGCGACGTTGGTAGACTTCTCTTCCTTCCTCTTGAGACGACCGTGAATTACTCTATTCATCTGTTCATTGCCACATAACGTTGTTTTATTAGAGTGAGTTACAAGTATAGTCCCTAGACTATATTAACATAAAATTTTGGGCCCTTGGCTTTCACTTAAACAATACATTTTTAAATGTAATTAATTAAGAAATATGATATTATTTCCACAATATATATATATATATATATATATATATATATATATATATATATATATATCAATTTTCAAATGTATAATCCAATGTAATTTTTATTTAAATGTGATTATTTAACTTTGGATATATTCTTATAACATCTTTACAAATATATATCATCTTAAATACTATTTTTTTTGCAGATTCAAAGAACAATATGGACTACAGTCATGATAAAGAAAAGAGAAAACTTAGAAAATTATATTTGGATAAAAAAAAATCCAAAAATAATTCTTCTACGTCAGTACCTCAGAATTCATCAACCGTACATGTTTTTAACATGAAAGAGAATGGTAATAGTATCAATTTCTTTTATCCAACTTTTACTATTTTCGCGATTAAAATACGAACGAATTAGAGGAGGATATCTTAAAACGATTTATAAATCTTTTTAAGTTTCTCGATACATTTTGAATTTTTCATTATATTTTGAATACATTTTATTGTAATATTTTTATCGTTTAAAAACTTTTGTTTTACAGAACGAATGGACATGTATTATAATAAACTTGTACTTATTACCATCCAGAATCAAATGCTTTTTTACAGTTATTAATTTTTTTGGTGTATAATTTTTTTTTAACTTACCTCCCGTGGTTTCCACGGGTTATAACCTAGTTACATATACAGAAAGGGTCTTCATACGACTTACATAGAAAGCACTACATTATATTTAGAAAATGAAGATAGTTTAACACAACAAAAGATTATGTAAACCAAAATGCATTAAGCACGCAAACATATTAGAAGTAGGGATGTTTGTCGTTAGGAGGTTTTTGACTTCTTTTTTGAGATTTTCAATAAGGGCTTCATATTTCTTTTGCATCTGGTGCATGGTCTTGAGCAGTTTTGCGCTTTCATAATTGTTGTCAAAGACGAGTTGCTGCATCTTTAGGTAGTTGTCGTATGACGGTTTGGCGTCCATCTGCTCCATCAGTTCCTTTCTGTAGTTTTGATGTTCTGAAGCTTCCTCCTCCATGTTCGTCAGTGACGGTTTCTCAGCTTCTTGGTGGGCGAGGAGGGTATTGAGGATGGTTTCCATTTGCTGTGGTTTCATTTTCGTTTTGTGAGGGGTATCTGTGTTGTGGATGGTGGTGGTTTGAGAATCTTGGAGGACAACGATACACCCTTCAGTGATTGGACCAAAAAAGAAGATGAAATTAACGACACAGTAAACAAATCAATATAGAACCTTGCTATGAAAAAGAAAAATTGCAAAAAGTTTCAGTTTCGAACTAAATCCGCTAAAAAGCATATACCATAGGGACAATTTTTTTTTGTAAATTATTCTATAAACAATGAACTTATATAAAAAGATAAAGAGTACAGACGTCCTGAAAGCGTGGATGTGATTTTACTGCGGTCTTTCATTCTTGAAACTAAAGTTTGACCCATTGTCAATAAAGGGCTTGAAAATCTTAAAGCTACATAATTTGCCAAACGTGGAATGCGTCGAACATTAGGAGGCGCATCAAATGATAATCGGATTGCAAATGGTAAAATCCTTATAAACCTGAGGCCCATTTAACACATTAAAATATGATTAGATGATAAATAATAACGTAATTAAAAATAATAAATAATAAATAATAAAAAATAATAATAAAAAACTTACTTTTCTTCTAGAAGGCTTGGAAGAACTGTGTCCCTATAGTACTGAACAGGTGCCCAAACCTTTATTCTGAAGTTGAAAACATTGGTCAAATTCTGGTCAAACCTTTCCATTAGGTATCCAGGTACAGTGTCAACCATTCGTACGTCATTTTCCAGTGTTTTAACGAAAATTTATTCATCATATATGTCACTAAACTTACTGCAATACAACAAAAAACACATAAATACTTTCAAATATATGTATATATAACATTAAGCAATTATAGTAATTAGTAAAAGAGCAGGTTTACAAACCTGGGATCTCTCCAAATGCTATGGAAATGAAAATTTGGAATGACATGCGTCAAGTTAAGGTAGCATGCCACAGCAACTACATTGCAAATCTAGAGACATAGAAGTTTGTGGGTGGAATACTCATTAAAATTTGTCAAACGGCACACCTTTTTGTAGAGATTGCCACTTTTAGTCCTTCCTCTCTTATGGGGTTTACACTTTTGCCACAGAATTTTAAAGGTTGGCAATTGTTATCCCTCCATCGTCTATCTCACCCAATCACAGGTTGCACTGCCTTTACTAATCTTTCTCTCTTCCAATCGACTTTTCTTTAAACCAATTATGTTAGGATCAGTGTCAATCTTCTTCACCACGTTTGTGGAGCATTCTTCTTTTTTATTCGATCAATACGTATTCCCTGGTACAAAAGCAATGCAAATGGTTAATTCTTGAACTAACTCGCCATATTCCCTACCATTCATACAAATTAGTTGATCAAAGTCCCATGTTAAAGCATAACGTATATAAAGTACATCAAAAAAATAAAGGAGTATCCAAAGCCACATAAAACCTTAAAGAGTTATGGATTTTCCCATGGAAAACCCACCTTGATTTGGACATGTAGGTGCTATAACATAGGAGTTTGAGGTCTTCAAAGGGAATTTTTCCATCAAAAAGTGAGGAAAATATATGTTTACCTCTGATGGCAATAAGCCAACACTACCTGATAAAAGAGTATTAATGAAATGGTAATATTTTTCCAAAAAACTTTAATGTTACGTGGAATATTATGAAATATACTGATCATACTTGTAGATGGCTAAAGAAATTTCCTATTAAGAGGAAGCCTCTTTCAAGTAATCTTGATGTCATGTTAATCATTGTGAATAAGGTCTTAATGATGCCATCCTGCAAAGTTTAGAATAAATTACTATTCAAGCAAACAATATGATTGTTAATATATATTTTTCAGTCAGTCAGTCTACAATAAATGTGAAAAGCTACTTTGGAAAGAAAATCCATAAACCTGGTTCAAGCATTTCGTCGAACAGTTGATGTGTATCATAAAAATTGCTTTCAAATTTCAACAGCAAGCGGTTTGGTCTAAACTAAATCATGTTTTGGGGTATGAAGGAGGCAAGTCAGTTGCCCCAGATCAACGTCCCCAACACACAAGAAACACCATATTCCCATCATTGATTTTTGGTGCATATTTTAAGAGCAACAACGTTACCTTAAACGATGTTATTAGTTGCACTGAACTCCGCTGATGCGGTGAGTGAGTTGTCCTAGACCACGAAGTCAACTGTACAGAGGCAAACCAAAATCATATGAAAATTCCCGACATGAGATTGTATAATACGAATTACAATACATACCTAAAGAAGAAACAGAGACGGCGATGATCAGGTGAAGAGAGACGGCGAGGGAAAATAGAAACGCAAAAAGTGAAGAGGAAGGAAGAGTAAAGAAGAAAGGAAAAAAAAAAAAAAAAAACGCAAACGAACAATATTGGAGGAGAAGGGCGGCAACCGGCTTTGAGGAAGAAAAGATAACGATGGCAAAATGTATGGCGGTTTGTGCGAGAAAATGAGAAATAGAAGTTTCAGTGTCAAAATAAGAAAGTCAAAGATTTCCGTATGAAAATAAGAAAGAGAACGAAAGTTAACTTTAGGTAAGGTTTTAAGAATTAATAGTATATACTAATTAGAGACGGAGAGACATTGAAGGAGAAGAAAGTAAAAGGGGAGAGGGTATATAGGTTCATGATGATATACTAGCAGACTCGTTTTGGATCAGTCTCGAAACGATTTGATTTTTATAAGACCAGTCTAGAAAATGTCTGCGTTTTTTTTATAACGGTCATTTTTCTGTCTGGTCTTTTCTCAAACTATCATTTTCGGTGTTATATATTTGGGACTGGTCTCGTTCTCACAGTTTCTACGTGCGACTTAATTTTTTCCAATTAGGTTTCGGTAGTTTTTGTTTTTGTTTTTTTGATTTCTTTTTCCGTTAACAAATATGTGATTAATACTAAAGTAATACATTATGATTTAATAAAAACTAGGAGGTTAGCCCATGCTTCGCATGGGGTGGAGTGTGTACGGCCTTTTTACTAAAATGTAATGATAAATCTTGATAGTTTTACAAAGAACCAAAGTACAATGCTATATATAATATAATCGCTTATTCTAAAGAAATGAAAGTACGTTGTTATATTTGTGAGCGTTTAAAAAGATGACACTACAATGCTATAAAAACAAAAATACTTACACTAAGAACACTGTTCATTGCTTTATATTTAAATTCTTTCATAAATCCCTCTTTATATTCTCCATCACTAAGCTTCTCTCTAATGTATAAATTTATAAAAACTTATATATATATATATATATATATATATATATATATAGATATATATATATATATATATATATATATATATATATATATATATATATAAGTCTTATTCTTTTTTTTTTTATAGTTGACCCCTTTTTCTCCTCATTCTCACAAGCCAAAGAACTTGAAATCAAGGTTCTTCATTGTTACACTTCGATAACCTTTCTATAAACCCCTTAATCTCCATCACTAAGCTTCTCTCTAATCTATAAATTTATAAAAACTTATATATATATATATTATATAGATATCTATATATATAAGATATATATATATATATATATATATATATATATATCCTCCCTAATAAATTAAAATGATTTTGCCACATGTCACTCTATCATTAACTTGGACACATGTCATTTTTTGGTATTTTTGAATAAATATTTTTTCCATTTGTCATTTTCTCATTTTTAGTCTTTTCTTAATTGACACATCATATTTATACCTCAATTAGTAATTGTCTTAATTAAAAATAACCAATAAATTACAATATTACTATTCATATAATATTTAATATGTTTCATTTTAAATTCAAATTTTAAATTTTAAATTTTAAATCTAAACAAATTTTTGTTTAACCCTTCATATTTAAACTTTTTATTTTATACAACCCGTATAACATACCGGTCTTACAACTAGTATATATCTATATATATAGATATATATATATATATATATATATATATATATATATATATATATATATATATATATATAACTCTTATTCTTTTTTTACCTGAATAAGAGAAGTTGACCCCTTCTTCTCCTCATTCTCACAAGCCAAAGAAAATGAATTCAAGGTTCTTCATTGTTACACTTCGATAACCTTTCTATAAACCCTTTAATTGTTCTATTAATTTCCATATTCAAAACAAAACGTATACCTGATAAGGAAAACAAATATACAACAAATGAGTGCTAAGCCCTTGTAATCATCCATAATTTCCAAAAAAGACCGAAGTACCTTTCAATTCAAGCTTCAAATGATTTAACCTCCTTCTGATTTTAGTACTCCATTGATGCCAAAATAAGATGATATGACCATGACTCGAAGAATTTTTATTTTAAAATTTTTTTCCTGCAATATTTGAAAATACCCTTTCTCTCTTTATTCAATTTTCTATATCTATCGAACCAACCAAGTGTTTTCTCCATTTACTCCTAATTTTGTTCAAATTTCCCTCATTTATTTCTTCCTTTCATTTCTATAAACACAATATATATGTATGTGTAAACTATAATAAGATAAGAATAGAAATTTTAAACTAGCTTTCCACCCGAGAGGTACTATAGGCAGCTCGTCAACATATAGTACTTACAAAAACTTTATTATGTGAGATGAACATATGGTTATTCTTATCACAGATAAAATTAGGCAATCAAAGAAGAAAATGCAAACCTGAAGATGTTATGTTGAGTTGCTTTTAGCCTTTTACACTCAACCCAACATAAGGTACATCTATTCCAATCAACGCACGTTAAAAATAAACATGCAATTATAAGAAATGAAATTCAAATTCATGTAATGTATCTCGGCTATGCCTTTACAAGAGTTGTTTGGGATAAGTAACTAAATTTACGAGGCAACAGATTAATAATGACATTAAATTTATCATAATTTCCAGATCAGTAATCCCCAAACTACAAAGTTGATTACGCAAAAATACTTATTGTATCATTCTTCAACCAAAATCAAATACAAAAAGCGTCAATCAGACTATAAATTTCATAAATATAACTCAACTGACTGAAAGAACACAAATTCGATCAGTTCAGGAGGGTTGAGTTACCTCCACTTGCTAATGTTCAACCCCTAGTTTGCTTCCATCAAACATGGTTTCTACGTCATACCCAATTTAAAATTTCATCATTGAGAGGCTCCTTATATCGGTACAAATAAGTAAAACAAAAAAAAATTAACTATCACTCAAAAATGGCTAAAATAAACTGGATAAAGGAATAAAAAAAGTCGGTTTTGCAACCCAATTTGTTGTGGGTAAGTTACATGTTAAAGATCTATTCTGAATTGGTAAGTGTGGGTGTAAGGTATCACCCCTTTTATCTAATGCTTATGCCACTTTTAGTCAGCGAGATAATATTGATGATCTAGTAGCCAGGATCACCCTTTTGCAAAACTATTAGATCAGAGTAAGTAGCCTGACTCTTTTATTATAAAATTCAAATCCTTGATAACCTCAAATATCTAATCAATTTATTCATGTATGTTATGTTCTATAAAGAAAAATTGGAACTACTTTTGCACCTCAATCATGTTATAACCAAGATCCTTTTTATTCCTAATTCATTCAATCCACTCCTAATTCCAACAACATTATCCCATTGACTAAATGTGGTTATTAATTCTTCCTTGGTTTTCTTTAACGTACTAAAATCATTTAACCAGTGTTGTAAAAATCGGCCTAGGCGGCCGATTAATCGGTCCCTAGGCACTAGGCGGCCTCGACCCGCCTACGATTAGTGTTAGGCGGCCTTCTTATGCGGTCTTGGTCAATATCGATCCTAGGCGAAGTTAGGCGGTTCTAGGCGGATGAAAATTTCAAAAATTTTAAAATTTTAAATTTTAAATTTTAAAAAAATTACACCAAATATTTTATTTTTCATTAGTTCAATGTTTCTTATACTATTCCAAAATTTTCAAATTTGAAATTCTTAAAATTTTAAATACTTATTTTCTTAATATATATTAACTTTTGAATAATATTTTTAATAATTAATGGTACCCGATTAATCTCCGCCTAGCCGATTAATCTCTTAACCCTGATCCACCGACTAGTTACCCTGGTCCACCGACTAGTTAACGTCGAACGTTTTTTACAACCATGCATTTAACAAACATCCAATAAGAGTCATTAAATAGTTATACCTGATCTAGCACCTATTAAATACTTCATGTATACCGCAAGAAAGAAAACTTCAATGAAGAAAATTGAGAAGTAATATGATATATGTGGGCATTACTCGACATATACCGGATATACTCAAATTTGAAATTTAAAAATGTGAAATTTTGACCTAAAGTAGATAGTAGATAAACATGAATAGGACATACCTTGGTAGCTACTTCAAATGATTTGAGGTAAAGTTCATTCCCTGGATCTTGAAATAGAATACATTTCATAAAACATATATTCATTGGACGTATAAGTACAAATAATAGTAATCACAAGGCTATATATTTATAAGGAATACCTCATCAACAACCTTTTGAAAGTAAGTATAAGCTGAATCAAAATAGCCTTTGCTTCATCTTTTTCATGAGTAAGAAAAGTATAAGAAGTTTGGGCAGTGCCCATATACCAGAAGGCATCATGTTTCCTCAGATCAATCGCTAATGTTTCATCCAATTTCCATATAGCATCTACATGACCGAATCAATCAAATCATGCACACTCAGATACACACACCAACATATACCAGTAAAAGTTTTAAAATGGTCATTTAACATATAGGGAGACAAAATTAATGATAGTAAAGACCAAACATCAATAAGTCACTTGTACAATGATGACAAAATTTAACTACGAATTGGATTGGAGAACTTACTTTTGTGGGGAAGAAAGATTATGGGTTCGATGAAAAATGAAGAATGGACATCATCTGTAGAAAAATCAAAAAAAGAAAAGAAATTAGGGCTCAGATAATCAAACATGAAAATGGATCATTCAACCACTGTTCGATGAACCCGAAGAAGAGGCTTCGTTTGATGGCATGTAGGGATTCTGTGATCTCACAGTTTTGTCCAACTATGAATCGAATTTGGGAAGAGATGGAGATAAGAAGAAGACGGTGGGAAGCACAACTGGAAGAAGATGACCAAAACAGATGGAAAACATGGATTAGACTTCAGATTTAGGGATAGAGAAGTTGGGATTTATAGACGGTCGAAAGAGATACATCCGGTGGTTTTAGGGTGTATTGATCGAAATATAATGTTCCCATCTTTAAAAGTCACATTGAAGAAGGTGGTGAAATATTTGTGTGTAAACATTTGATTGAAAGCATTGGCGGTGACAACAGGCAAGGGACCAAAACTCTCAATCCCTACAAATATTGTGATGAAATTCTGAGTTGCAAAAGGTAACTATTCATAACAGTTTTCAATATATATATATATATATATATATATATATATATATATATATATATATATATATATATATATAGGCAAAAAGTGAATATGTGGTTGTAATGTATATAATGTTAGATATAGAACCACCTAAAACTACGTAGTTTTATTAAAATTACTACAAATATTTATCCCTAATATTTAGGTTTTCAAATTCTTGGATTTTACGAACACTTTTTCTCATGTTTCCTTATTTTTCATCAAAATCAACTCTA